GGAAGTTAAAGGAATAGTATCTTGCCTTGGAATTGTATCATTATTCTTGTATGGATGTACCCGGCTTCGCCCGGGTTTTACCCGAGTAAAGGTTTGTTTAACGAATATCTCCTCGATAAAGTGAACATTTTTTCCCGGTCCCTTGAAAAATACTCGATAAGTTGAATAAAATCAATATTAATTGGTTCCCTCGGTAATTGGAAGTTAAAGGAATAGTATCTTGCCTTGGAATTGTATCATTATTCTTGTATGGATGTACCCGGCTTCGCCCGGGTTTTACCCGAGTAAAGGTTTGTTTAACGAATCTCTCGATAAAGTGAACATTTTTTCCCGGTCCCTTGAAAAAATACTCGATAAGTAGAATAAAATCAATATTAATTGGTTCCCTCGGTAATTGGAAGTTAAAGGAATAGTATCTTGCCTTTGAATTGTATCATTATTCTTGTCTCAAATAAATTGACGTGTCATCCTGAATTTTGTCTTTCCTAATTTTCTACATTACAAAATCATCGTATCATCATGATAATATTTAGAGCAGATTGTTGAATTATAACAGATAAATTAGAATAATTATCTTGATTATTTCTAGGCGAAAAGTTATTTCAAAAATTTTATTTGCTAGAAACCTTCCCAGTACTATACTAAATAACTTCCCAAAGTTTCATGGCGATCCAATGAGTGGTTTGGTCAGGCATAAAGGACAAACAAACAGACATACATTCATTTTTATATATATAAAGATATTAACAGTAATTAAACGTAACAGTAAGAAAATGTTGATTTTAAAATATTTTAATTTTTTCATATTTTAAATATGTAAATAGAGTCTCTTAAGAAAGACCACCTAAAAACATGAATCAACTTGTTTCTCCTGTTGGTGGTCTCTCATTGAAGATTCTAATTGCTATTAAAGAATCTCTAATAGACCTTTAATAAGAGACTGCCTCTTGGAGAGACGGTGTAGCTACGAAATGGATATTCCCGGCTTCGCCCGGATTTTACCCGAGTAAAGGTAACGAATCTCTCGATAAAGTGAACATTTTTTCCCGGTCCCTTGAAAAATACTCGATAAGTTGAATAAAATCATTATTAATTGGTTCCCTCCGTAATTGGAAGTTAAAGAATAGTATCTTGCCTTGGAATTGTATCATTATTCTTGTCTCAAATAAATTGCCGTGTCATCCTGAATTTTGTCTTTCCTAATTTTCTACATTACAAAATCATCGTATCATCATGATAATATTTAGAGCAGATTGTTGAATTATAACAGATAAATTAGAATATTTATCTTGATTATATCTAGGCGAAAAGTTATTTCAAAAATTTTATTTGCTAGAAACCTTCCCAGTACTATACTAAATAACTTCCCAAAGTTTCATGGCGATCCAATGAGTGGTTTGGTCAGGCATAAAGGACAAACAGACATACATTCATTTTTATATATATAGATTTTATATTGTTACATCATTAACACAAAACAAAAAACACGCCATCTATATATATAAAATGAAAGGATTTAAAAGCACGAATGTTTATTTATACAGAATACAAACTTCTACTGTCCTTACTGCGATAAAAAAATATATTGGGAGGGCTTGGATCATCTGAGATTCCACCTTTTAGTGCTGCGTATATAAGGCAGAATCGTCCAATACAGTATTAAAGCTCTAAGAAGCGATCTGGTGGATTAAATTGGCGAAACCGCTGGGAGGGTTCACCACTGATGAGCCAAGCCATCCCAATATATTTTTTTCATCGCAGTAAGGACAGTAGAAGTTTGTGCTTAAATCCTTTAATTTTATATTGTTACATCATGTTTGATACGTTCCCCCTCCACATTTATTCAAAATAATCTATGATATTTAAAATTTATATTATCATTACTTTTATAACATTGTTATTACATCTTGATTATTTTTTTCTGGGTAGAGAGTAGAAATGACAAACAAACATTGAATATATTTGAAGTAGATTGCTTTGTCATTCTCTTTTTTTTATTTTGTATTCTAGTTCAAACACGCTCTGTGGAGACGCCGGTTATGTAAATTTCTCTCTTTTTTGCATATTCATTCAGAATATTTACATATTTGTAAATATAATTCTGTATATAAGGATGTGTAAGTTTAATAAACGTGTGTCAGTAACAATCGGGTGTTGCTGAATTATCAGTGTCATCAGTGTGTTGTGGGCACTTTTAAGAAAGCAAATAGGCTTCGGTTTGAGACCAGAAGAAGTCTGGCAAGAAGATACAGTCAAGCTCTGCCACAACTATTTAGATAAGACCAGACATATCCAGGATGCGGCAAGCTTTCCGAGCTTAGTAAGTGAGGCAGTGATCGTATCCGAAACACTCTGGAAAGATGCAAGTGTCATGTGTGAAGAAAAAAAAAACATCAAACTGAAATTACAATTAGAATGGCTTGCATATGCAAATCAAAATCTAATTGTAACATTCGGAAAAGAAGTAAAAAGAGAGTGAGAAGAAAAAAAAAGGAAAGTAAAACGATGATTTGCAAGATATTTCTTTATTAAAATAAGTTAAGCTTTCGTGTATGGTTTCTTCATCAGAGGTTTAGTGAATTGTCAAGAGAAAGGAGGGAAGAAGAGAACCCAGACTTCCTCTATTTAAGATAAATAGGTGGGGCGCGCGGATGAAAACATCCGGTATGACGCCATACCCACTGAGGTACAAGTTACATAGACTAATGTGCATATCTCCCACTACCTTCTATATAGCATAACTACCTATTTTAAAACTCCATAGAAATATATATATATATATTAAAAAACGAAAGAAAAAATAAAAGATAAAAAGATCAGGTGTTGAAATCAATATTAAAAATGACATATCCTGACCAGGAGCACATGTGCTTTACAGAAGGCAGAGCGCCATCTGTAAAGCACATGTGCTCCTGGTCAGGATATGCCATTTTTAATATTGATTTCAACACCTATTTATAGAGAAAATTTTCCCTATCAAATTCACAATGATATACATTCTCTGTTTTCTGTTTGGGATATACTCTTCCCTATTGGGAATATATTCATTGTGGTATATATACACATCAAGAGTTGCTTTTTTTAAAAATATTTATTCAGTTCTATTTATATAAATTATATATAGAAAAGCCATCCACGAACGCGTTTCGCGCTTTTGGCGCTCGTCAGCGTGGAGTAGGCTGAACCACTTTGGTCCCAGTGGCTTCCTGAAAAACCAAGAAATGGGTATTTTAGGCCAAATTTGCATAAATACGCTTAGCACATTAAAAAACGAAAGAAAAAAATATATATATGTATTTTATTCCCTAAATAGGGAAAAGTATACATTTAAAAAAAAGTGCATCGAAAATTCCTTTTAAAAAAGGGAATGTTAAATCCCAAAAGGGAGAGTAGTGATATATCTCCCTAAATAGGGAAGTGTGTTTCCCCAAAAAAAGTGGAAGTTAATATATCTTTCTAAATAGGGATATTCCCCTCCATTCCCAATAATATATCTCCCTAAATAGGGAATATAAATCTTCCCAAAAGGGAGAATAGTTCATCCCCAAAATAGGGATTGTTTTTTCGCAACTATAGGGATGATTCTATCTCCCTAAATGGGATAGACGGGAAGGTAGCAAACAGTAGGGAGACTTCACCTTGACGCCACAGCGGGATTGCGCACGTGTATGTGCTGAGGAACGTAATCATCGTCAATATTTGGTGTTAAAACACATCGTGATTGGTGGAGAATTCTGGTTTGTGGGTCTACATGTTTGTTGAAGCGATCAGAGTGAACGACTTCCTCCCCAAAACGTCCACTATTGTCAAATACACATACACACACACAAGATTTTATCAGTTTTTATGACGAATTACACAATTTGTGGACGATACCTACAGGTTTTTAGTGCACTAAAGTGTAGCATAAATATATAGGTTAAAAAAATAAAGAAAGGTAAACGAGTAATTCTCCAGTTTTATAAACGAATCGTATAATTCATAGAAGATACTTACACGTTGAACGTGTCAAATTGATAGAAATGGATGAGTAGGTCAGAAAATGAAGACTTCGTTTTTCTCTCCAGAAATCAGAGTAAAACACAAATAGCCCCTCCACACGTGCGCGCCGGTGTTACAAAGGGAAAAGTACGGTCTGTTGAACTCCCTCCTTTTTTTATATTCCTCTTTTGACAGCCATAACTAATTGCCTTAGAAGGAAGGGTAATTAATTCTGGTTAATAGAGCTGGACGCACTGAAATATCTCAGTCGGTTAACTTAGCTAAATCTTTAGTACTCCACATACATACATCTACCTAAAGAGGCACCTCTCCCTTTTTAAAAAATGCATTAAAACAATGAATTTTTGGTTCAAAAAAACCAGTATTGAATATGTGGGGGGTTGGTGGAAGTTTGGTCTAAACCGTTGGTTTTCGACCGCTACAATACGGGATCGAATCTCGAATTGGATACTTTTTTTATAATTAAAAAAAAAAAAAAATGCTCCAATGGCCCACCGATTCTTGCAAAAGTCCAACCTCACCAGCGAGTACAAGTAACCAAACGGGCCTCTGGTACACTTATGAGTGCAAAGTCGAACTGCTTTTCACATGTGTAGACATATGGTGCGCTTACAGTAAAAGCAGTTGCCAACTTCTACCCACCATGATTATCATGGCCTATACTACATGTACTAGGGATAATAATACATTTAAAAAGTATATAATGTAAAGGTGATGATGAAGAATGAACCACAACACCAGTTTAAGAAAATTCAGACAAAAGTCAACAACCAGTATACCATGGTTTCAGACTATGACCCTCATCAGTACAGGGACGGCTTCATAACATTCTACGAGGGAAGTTGTGAAATAGGTCGAATTTACCAAAAAGCTAGTAATCTGGTGAAGTGGAAAGGGCCGATTTTCAGGACAGATCACAACATAAAGTAGCGAGAAATGGTATTTATGTACAAAAAAAACACCTCTCTTGTGTTATTAGTTACGAACGGAAAAATACGTCCAGGGTAGCCTAGTGGACATGGCACCTGCCCGGTAAGCAGAAGGTTGTGGGTTCGATTCCCGCCCTTGGACAGTTTTATTTTTCCGTTCGCCATTACTCTTCACATTTTCACCCTTTCATACGTCATCCAATCATATATAGACCATTACTCTTCATATATTCAACCTTTTCATACGTCATCCAAAAAGTTAGAAATAGTACATATTTCTCTTTGAAATTAATATTGATTTTCACAAAAAAAAAGAAACTTATGCGGGGAGGCTTTAAGTATTACTTTATTATTAAAATATTGTTCACTATCACAAGATTTCATATCTAGACAAATTCCATAATTGCATATTCCATTAATTCCGCAAATTCCATTAATCTCTTTAGACTATTGGTAAAGCTGAAGGAACCACGAGCGAAACTTTCGAAATGACATCGTTCAAAGTTTACTTGAACTGAAGAATCAATTTTTCATGATATCATGGTCCGGTTCATCCGAAATCTCCAGAATGTTTGCTTTCGTATTGTTTCACAGGGTATCACCTGATGTTGTTTGAGAGTTGTTTATTGTAATATTTGGAGGTTATTTTCCTCTATAAAATGATGATTTTAAGTGGATATTTGCCTAAATAGGACCCCGTATAAACACCATGGCACTTCCACCTGTCTACCAAGGCTGTATGGACCAAGGCCGAGAACAAACAAAGGAAGCCATCCATTCCGAAGACGTCCTAACGGGAAGTTTCAATAAGTGACTTCTTCCTGGACACCAAACAGGACGTGTCCCAAGACACTACACCCCGTGGTCTATGTCACCATCTACATTCATGGATAAAACTTTAGGAAAATTTTTGATGTCCCTGGTCGTCTATTTTTTAATTTTTTTTTTAAGGAGATAGAGGTTGTTCACACTTGGTTATCGTGCATGACTTCAATAAAGGTCACTGTAATATATTTCAGAGTTATTGTCTCAATCCCGATATACATGGTAAAAGGTACAACTTCCTTAAGTTTTGTCCATGAGTGTATATTGGTTATCTCGTGTGTCTTCAATAAAGGTCACTGTAATATATTTCAGAGTTATTGTCTCAATCCCGATATACATGGTAAAAGGTACAACTTCCTTAAGTTTTGTCCATGAGTGTATATTGGTTATCTCGTGTGTCTTCAATAAAGGTCACTGTAATATATTTCAGAGTTATTGTCTCAATCCCGATATACATGGTAAAAGGTACAACTTCCTTAAGTTTTGTCCATGAGTGTATATTGGTTATCTCGTGTGTCTTCAATAAAGGTCACTGTAATATATTTCAGAGTTATTGTCTCAATCCCGATATACATGGTAAAAGGTACAACTTCCTTAAGTTTTGTTATGAGTGTATATTGGTTATCTCGTGTGTCTTCAATAAAGGTCACTGTAATATATTTCAGAGTTATTGTCTCAATCCCGATATACATGGTAAAAGGTACAACTTCCTTAAGTTTTGTCCATGAGTGTATATTGGTTATCTCGTGTGTCTTCAATAAAGGTCACTGTAATATATTTCAGAGTTATTGTCTCAATCCCGATATACATGGTAAAAGGTACAACTTCCTTAAGTTTTGTCCATGAGTGTATATTGGTTATCTCGTGTGTCTTCAATAAAGGTCACTGTAATATATTTCAGAGTTATTGTCTCAATCCCGATATACATGGTAAAAGGTACAACTTCCTTAAGTTTTGTCCATGAGTGTATATTGGTTATCTCGTGTGTCTTCAATAAAGGTCACTGTAATATCTTTCAGAGTTATTGTATCAATCCCGATATACATGGTAAAAGGTACAACTTCCTTAAGTATTGTCCATGAGTATACACTGGGACACCCCTGGTACCGACAATTGTCGACCATTCTATTGTCGCACCATTTTGGCAGATACTCAATTTTTTTTACCTCCCTCATCTTCCATCGTGCTCCATAATCTCCACTATGGTATAAACCACTCCTCCATCAACTAAACTCCTGTATCTAAAAAATAATATTTGTAATTTGCGGAAGAGCATTGCTCGAAGCATATTATATATATTTATAATTATGAGAAAAAGACCATTCCCTGATCGTGTAAATAAAAGATGCTGATGGCTTGCGCCATCTATCGGAATAAATATCAAATAATCGTTGATTTTTTATTATTCCAAAATTGACAAAATATCGTTTCTTGATTAATCAAGAAAAGCTAACCACGTACGCTATATATTTCACATTTATAATTATATGTATTTCTACTGTCCTCAATGTCCATAGTTCATTTAAAATAATTTTCCAAGAGTCTAGCTTCAGTATATAGGTATAAAAGGAAGACAGCTAAATGTGCAATATTACAGCGGTATGGTAGATTAAACTGGCGAAACCACTAGGAGGGTTCACCACTGATGAGTCAGGCCCTCTCATTAGTTTTATTATTGCAATAAGAGCAGTAGAAAATTGTTTTATTTATAAAAATATATATTTATACGCGGCAAAAATAGTTTTGATTTCTTATAATAGATATAGCACTAATTCATCATATCCATTTAAATACTAGTATATATATATATGTATATATATATATTATCCCTAGTACACGTGGTACAGGCCATGATATCTGTCGTATATTTATATTTTAATTATATAATATAATATTGTATATAATATATTCATATAATATTAAATCCACAGATTCTGCGATATATTGTATATATCATAACTTATAATTTATCATCATATAATTCGATTGTTAACTTGTAATTCTTAAACTTGCATCTAATACGGCGTAATATAATAAAAGCCATTTAAATAAATAAAGCCTAAAATATATTTATACTTTTAAATCAAACCTAAATACACCACAATAATCATGTGTATTTAGCGACTGCTTTTACTGTAAGTGCACCACACATCTACACATGTGAAAAGCAGTTTGACTTTTGCACTTACAAATATACCAGAATCCCGTTTGATTACTTGCACTCACTGATGGGTGTTGGAATTTTGCAAGAATCGGGGACCATGGCAGCATTTTTTTTTATTAGAAAAAAGTGCCAGAAGCGGGATTCGTTCCTGAGTCGTAGCGGTCGAAAACCAACGGTTTAGATCATCCTTCCACCTACCCCTTTATCCATATGATATACGTGAAGTGTTTTAACGCGGGTTAAAAAACAGGGATGATAGAACAAAGAGTATGGAAGCACCATTACTGTCCACTTAGAGAGAGATATCGGAATGAAGTAACTTTCTGAAGGCCGTACATGATCGTCATTGAATTTCCTCATTTCGACATTGGACCACACAAGGCCAATTCCGAAACACCTTCCACATTTCCAGTACTTATCTTTATAATGGTGGAGTATCTTTTAGGTCCTACCATTTAGTATTGATAGTGGTAAGTGAAGAAAAATACTTTGTTGTTGTGTCAATGAAGAGCTTCAGATGTCTCCGTACCTCTCTATCACAGCAATGTTCTCTATCTTGGGTGTGTAAAGTTCTGGGTCAATTTTCTGTCGTTGTTGTTGTGTCCAATGAAGAGCTTGAGATGTCTCCATACATCTCTATCACAGCAATGTTCTCTATCTTGGGTGTATAAAGTTCTGGGTCAATTTTCTGTTGTTATTGTCGTGTCCAATGAAGAACCTCAGATGTCTCCGTACATCTCTATCACAGCAATGTTCTCTATCTTGGGTGTGTAAAGTTCTGGGTCAATTTTCTGTTGTTGTTGTCGTGTCCAATGAAGAGCCTCAGATGTCCCCATGCATCTCTATCACAGCAGTCGCAATGTCCACTAACTTGGGTGTGTGAAGTTCTGGGTCCATGTCAATTTTATGTTGTTGTTGTTGTGTCCAATGAAGAGCCTCAGATGTCTCCGTACATCTCTATCACAGAAATGTTCTCTATCTTAGGAGTGTAACGTTCTGGGTCCATGTCAATTTTCTGTTGTCGTGTCCAATGAAGAGCCTCAGATGTCCCCATGCATCTCTATCACAGCAGTCGCAATGTCCACTATCTTGGGTGTGTAAAGCTGCTGCTCTGGGTCCACGCCAATTTTCTGCAAGGCTGCGGCCATTGCTGGACATGAGAATGAAAAATACTTTCTCAAAATTGTTACTTACATATATCACTTTCTCTTTATGTAACACGGATTCCTGGAGCCACGTACTAAAGTCGCTACTATCCCATACATATAGAAATTTAATCCATTACATCTATTGAACACTAGACGAATGACCCGGGCAACGCCCGGGTTTACACGATTAAATGTATTATTCAAACACATAAAACATAGCAAATATAGCAAGAGCATTTATTTTAAACGGCGAATTAGATCAGTTATAGCAAAAAATGAAAATATATATGTAAATATGTGAAATAGTTATAAATTAGAAAACCTGTAAATATAGTTAAGGACTTGCATTGTAATTAAGAAAAAGCTTCTCGTCTAGAACGCTGCTCGTGAGCTAAGTAGAATAATTTGAATATATAGTTTTACTAATTGATTTATATATTTTTTAAAATAGCCTATCGTCATCCCCGTTATTTTTTACCTATGTATGGAAATTTTGGTTTGAATTAGTGAACTACTGCGAATTTGTATACCGGACAAACATACAAACCAACAAACATACATTCATTTTTATATATATAGATATGACAATAACGCGTCATCTGTATTCATGAAAGGAAATAATTAAATAAAGAAATTTCATTTCAAATATAAAATATACCTCCTATTATCCTTAAATGCGATGATAAAAATAGTTGGAAGGGCCTGGCTCATCAATGTTGAACCCTCCCAGCGGTTTCGCCAGTTTAATCTACCGCTTTTAAGAACTCTACTATTGTATTAGACGATTTTGTTAATATATTTGATACTGTAGGGGGTTGAATTTTGGTTATGGTATTTAATCAATCTATTGACAGAAGCGGTATAGTAGATTAAAACTGGCGAAACCGCTGGGAGGGTTGATCAATGATGAGTTAGACCTTCCTGAAATACACACAGACCTTTATTAAGACATATAGTCTTATATATACGGATTCACCATGGATTCTGTAAATAAAAATAATAAAA